TAACAGTTAAATAATTATTAGAGGTAGTTTGAGTTGCATCAGACTTAATAACTATCTAAATGAGTCATTATTGTTAGCACACCATCTGCAGCAACCGTGAGGACCACCTTCTCCTGACATCGAACCTGCTCCATATTCCTGTAGCAGCAGACTGGCACAAGCGGTCAGCACTCCTATAACAAACTGTCCTCATTCAATGTATATATATACACTCATGTATTAGAACGGATGTAATGAAAACGTGCTACAGTGATTTACAATAAAGAATTCTTAAAACCATTGTTCTTCTTCCTTTCTCTGCTCTGCTCCTCTGGTATTCTTCCCTGTATACAGTTTCTCTCAATTATAAGTCTTTAAATACTTTTATTTGGGCGTATTTGTATGTTAATGAAATTGAATTAAGTCCCTTTGCTGAGAGCTCCTCTTCTCCCTTCTCAATAACCCATTTTTCAAGACTTGTTGACGCTGAATCATCGGTGATCTCTCCTGGAATTAACAAATGACAAGAATGTTCTTAGGCTCATTGTTTGTTTCAAAAAGAATTCCAACCATCCTCTCTTGCTCCTGTTTTTAATGATCTGATTTAGATCAATTGGTGCATTGGAGTGTTGTTTTTCGGTTTAAAGTGTTCTCGGTTCTCTGGATTTTCCCAGTTCCTGAACTGATCTTCTTGTAGAATTAATTTCTTATATTTTTGATAAAATATTTGTTAAAGATCTTGAGGTGGAGTTTGCTTTGTGTCATACAAATTTAATTGCTCTTATTATTGCTTAAGATCTATTTTTAGATCTTTGAGGGAAGCAATTTTTTGTTTTTTTTAATTTTTATTAGCAAGACTATTCTTTCTTTTGTATAGTGGAGTGTTGGCTGTTTTTGAATAGATTGAGAAGTATTTCTGTATATATAAATCTTGTATCCAATTTCCACATATTTGAATAAAAGAAGATTATCGAGATTGCCCCATGAATGCAGAGTTAACAAGAACTCGAACCACATAAATTTTTTGTGTTCTTATTATTTCATTTTCTTTGCAAGTGATATCTGAAATTATTTCTTTGAGATTAAATTTTATAAACGCTCAATTTACAAATAAGTCTTTAAAACTACGATTGAGATCTAGTCAAAGATCAAGTTGAGTGGTTGATTCATCTCTTCCACGCACAACCTTATTCACTTTGTCAGGATTAAACTGCATAGAGTATCCATCAGAGGTTATGCATAGGATTACTGTATCCACAAATGTTGTGATATACTCCTAAACTAAGCCTTAGGTTTCATTAGGGACGGCTTTCGAAGCTGCTTCAAAAAATAGAAAGAAAGCCGTTCCAAACGAAGTCTTAGGCTTCGTTTGTGACTGTTTTCTTACTGCTTCTTAAAGCAGCTTTCTAGTACAAAAACTTTAATATTCAAATTAGAAAGCCGCTTTAAGAAGCAGTAAAAAAGCCGCCCCAAACAAAACCTTAGTTTGCGATAACCTTTTTATTGCTTTACCTCTCAGACTACAATCACAATTTATACCTGGCCACTGATTCTGTGCTTATTTTAGGAAATTTTTCTGTAGGAAGCTGCTTTCTGCATCAGCTTCTAAAGAAATTATTTTCCCTATAATACATTTGTAATCATCTTGATAAAAAAAACTATAGCTGTCCCAACTGGACCAGGAGAATCAGTCTGTTTTAATGGTTGAATTGGCTTTTCAGAACACGGCAATGGTTTTAATTTGATTGATAAGCATGAACTGTAATCAGCTACAAGTTAATTAAAACTATGATTTTATGCCATTGTCCTTATCTTCAGATGGATTGGATCTTAACATTTGTCAGTGTCAAATCCATTAATTCATTGTGAGTTTTATATAGAGTTTGATTTTGAATATTATATGAATACAAAGTTTTTAATTCAAAATTTAATAAATATATTTTTTGGAGCCCAAATGCTTTCACACCTTGATGGAGCCTAATAGCCTATGTAGATATATTTCATCAATCTTAAAATTAAAAGTTTAGCCAAAAAAATTTCACACACTTATGGATTATTTGCTAGCTATTTATAATAAAAGTGTACCAATAATACTAGAAGCTTCTATACTCTAAGTGCAATGACTATGAAGAGGATTTTGGTTCATGGCCTTAAGCTTAGGTTCATATTTATGTCAATGAAGTGGTTGCATGTGAAGTAATTTCATATATAAATGTAATTTTAATATATTTCTTAAATGTTTGATGCAATTCTTTTCAATCATATATATGTCTAATAAGATTAAATCAAACACTTGCGTGATTGTATCACACTATCAAAAGAACTATATAAGTGATGTGTCCCTAAGGTTCTTATAAAGAAGTTATCTTAGGAGTCCCTCTTAAGAGAACTTCTAAGGAGTACATTTCGGGGATTAATTATCTGTTCGGAGGCCAACCAGAATGCCCCACATCACCCATGTGCTTAGTTTCGCGGCTCGGTATCGGTGACATGACGCATTCTGATTGGTCTCCGTACAGCGTTCTGCATCTGGTCTTCACATATAATAATTTCTCCATTTCAGTGTGCCTTTCTTTATAATTCTTCTTGGGAGTCCTTTTGAGGAATCATCTTAGGAAGTCCGCTCGAAAATTACTCTACGAATACTTTGGATGTTAAGGCTAAACATGCTTTCAATATGTAAAATAAAAATATTATTTTTTCTATTAGATATAACATTAACATCTTTCTATGGTAATCCATTCTTGTTATATAAAAAAAAATGAGAAATAATTTTTTTAGGAATGTTTAAATAAATTATCAGTATAAACACAACACCCACTTGCGGTTCGACCGAATCAATGGCCCGTTTTATACGTGCTGGCAGCTGGTTCATAGCTGAACCGGGTCTGGGCCCAGACCACCCCCACAATTCCACATCTCATCCCAACCGGTTTGAATTTGGCCGGCTCGGTTTTTGTCTCCTCCTTCCCTCGGTCCAACCGATCCTATTATCTACAAACTTCTTTTATTTCTTATTGGCTTCTTATAGCTGTCTAATATTCGGCTTTTTTATTTGGGTTTATTAATATTCAAACGCCGCATGGTTGCCACGTGGCATATCATGTTATCAATGTGCATTCTTTTTAAACTGAAAAAAAATAAAAAAAAAGGGAGATTTACATACATACCACTTTATACTACTCTATTTACATATTTAACACTTAAAATTTTAATATTACATACATACCACCCTTAGTTCATTTTCATATCAAATATGAGTGATAGAAATGAAATATATGAGTGGTAGGAAAGAAATATGAGTGGTATATTTGATATTAAAATAATATAGGGTGGTATGTATGTAATATTAAAGTTTTGAGTGTTAGATATGTAAATAGGATGTTATAAAGTGGTATGTATGTAAATTTCCAAAAAAAAGAATATCTATCTCGACTCTCTCTCTCTCTGTCTTTTTATGTTTTTCTAATTGCCAGAGTCCGAAGGCTTAAGCTTTGGGGTAAAAAAAAAAAAGATACAGAATTTTAAGTAATATTAAATTGATTTAAAATCATATATCTTCAATATTAAATAATTAAAAAAAATGGTATGATTTTCTTATGACTTTTTCTGAATATCTTATATATTTACTACTTGTTAGATATTTATGTTATATATATTTTAAAGTTTTTTATATAAATATGTTATGAATTAGCTAATAATAAAGATATATGCAAATATTTATAGATAGGCTCAATTCTTTTTATTCACTATCATAAAGTTTTGTATGTTTGTAGAGTCTTAGGTTTTGTTCGGAATAATTTTTTCATTGCTTTATAAAATATTTTTTTAGTACAAAAATTTTAATTTAATAAAGTTTTTAACTAAAACATTATTTTAGACAGCATTAGGAAAGCTGTCCCAAACGAACCGTTAGGCTTAATTGTTTTATTATTAAAGATAGTGTATGAAAAGAATTAAATCACAAAATGTAGATAAAAATATTGGAAATAATAAATCTATCACTTACTTGATGCCCTAATTCTTAGGACTTATTTCTAGTATAGAAGAGAATCAAAAGACCTACTAATTGCTTAATAACAATCTAATACTTAATAACCAATATGACACTCAATAATTATAACAAAATTATATTTATTTATAATAATGTGTTTAGGGAGATCTTAGAAGAAAATGAAATATATTGCAAAAAGAGAAAAGAAATGGAGCGATTCAACACTAAAATATACTAGTTAGGAATATGATCCATCATTTTCTTGTTTTAAGGTTCTTTTTTTTTTTTCGTTGGCTTGTGAGCATGATGGTTTATGCTTTTATTGATTGTCATCTTATTATGAGGAGACTCGAGGTTGATGGCCCTACAATCGAAAAATTATTTTGTGCGGACATGCCGTCGGGAGACTAATCAGAACGCGTCATGTCACCTTTTTTTCTCTGTACTGGTGCTCGCTACCAGGTGATGTGACGCATTCTGGTTGGTCTCCGGACCGTCCGGTATCCTCACTGAATAGTTTCTCCCTACAAACATGTCATATTGGTTGTGGTTAATGATATGCCGTTTCTCGAATATTCGATTCGAGATAGCAAGTGGGAGAGTTGGTCAAAATAGAAAACGAAGAAGATGTTTGATCATTCACTGTATGTTGTGCGACATAAAACCGTTGGAGTTGATTCCTCTACATGATATAGTCGAGAATAGGTATGATAGAAATAGTAGATGGATAGTTTTATCTAGTTGTGAAAAAATATAACGTTGAAAATTTATGATGAGAAACATCTTATAAAAAGGAAAAAATTATTATAAAATTATGATATTGATTTATGAAATTTACAATTAGTCAGAAAGCCAATAGTTCAAAATTTTGCCTTTAAGCCGAAAAAAAAAATAGTATTGTATCCGCATACAAAATAATTGTATAAAAATATATATATATATTTTTTTTTATGAAATTTTATTTTCTTATCACTTGTTTTGTAAAAATATTTGCCGGGCCCTTTTTTTTTTTTTGCACTTTAAAAATGGAAGAGAAGCTCTCCTCAACCCACAAAAGGTTGAGGTTTCTAGTTTTCCCCGACGCAGAAGATTGATACGCCGGCGATTTCCGCCGATCTAACCGGCCAAGTATGCCGTCCATGGAGTTGCATAGTTCCTCCGTAACGTTAGCGTCGTTCAGCCGCTCGCTCATGAACTTCCAACGTGACCCAGAAGATTTCCAGCAGGAGCCGGCCGGCGGGATCCAAGAGCAGGGCATTGATGCGTTTCAGCTCCATGTTGCCGACCTATTTGCAGAACTTTCATCCGCCGGAGGCGATAATATCCTTTCTCTTCTCTGGATTCGGAAGCTATTGGACGCTTTCCTTTTTTGCCAGGAGGAATTCCGCTTCATTCTCTTGAACAATCGCCATCTGCTCTCTCGATCTCCAATGGATCGCCTCATCTCTGATTTCTACGATCGCAGCGTCAAAGCCCTCGATCTCTGCAACGCCATCCGGGATGGGATCGAGCAAGTTAGGCAATGGGAAAAACACATGGAGATTGTTCTAATTGCGTTGGATCCACGGCAAAGTTTCATTACCCAGGGCCAAATTCGCCGCGCTGAGAAGGCCCTGATTGACCTAGCCTTGTTCATACACGATGAGAAGGAATCCTCCTCTGTTCTTGTGCAGCGAAACCGGTCATTTTGTCGCCAACAACGTGCTGCCGCTCACTGCCGATCATTTTCTTGGAGCGTTTCTAGGTCGTGGTCGGCAACGAAGCAGCTACAGGCTATTGGAAACAATATCTATGTTCCCCGTAGCCATGAGGTTGTTGCCACCAGTGGACTAGCGAATTCAGTTTTTACTATGAATTCATTGCTCCATTTTGTGATGTGGGTTCTGGTTGCCGCAATTCCTTGCCAGGATCGTGGTCTTCAGGCTCATTTCTCCATTTTGAAGAGCTTTCCTTGGGGATCTTCAGTTATTTCACTCCATGAGAGGATAATGGAGGAGTCAAAAAAGAGGGAAAGGAAGAAGTCTGTTGGGCTATTGAAAGAGATTCATCAGTTAGAAAAGTGCATTCGTCGCTTGTTGCAGTTGACAGAATCTGTTGATCAGTTACCTGAGGGAAAGGAGGTAGAGATGATCCGACAGGAAGTGCTTGGATTAGGTGATGTATACAATTCAATGAACGAAGAATTGATACTACTTGAACGCCAAGTAAGAGACGTGTTCCATGAAATTGTGCGCAGCCGGATTGAAGGGCTTGATTGCTTGCATAAACCGGAATGAATTTCCTATTTTGTGTTGCAAGTTGGTGGTTTCGGTTGAAAAAAGTAGTAGCAGCAGTAAGTCCTTAAACCAGTTGCAATTGGAGAAGAAAACGAAGAATAGGAGGAGACGATCAAGCACTGGGTGAAATGTCGCTCCTGTTGTAAGTTTATACAAACAGTTTTCTTGTGTTTTGTATAGCAGTTGTGCGTATTAGAGATTTTTTGTTTAAAAAAAAAATGTTTTTTAAACTTTTTATTGGATTCTTGAAACATTGTCAACATTATGGATGGTTTGCTCGAACTGTTTTGTATTTGTTTTTCTTTTTAGTTGTTATCATGTGTATTTAAGTTTGTGATTATTTGTAATTTTTCAAATAAAGGTTGGACGCATTAATGGCACAAGTTATAGTGCAATTTGTTATGCAGTGCTGAACTTCTTATTGTTTTTTCCTGTTAACTCTGGCAAATTTTTAAATAGATTACAAGGTAACGGTCAATAAACTTTTTGTTATTAAACACACATCTCCACACAAGATACGAACTTTGTGAAGAACTAAAGTGGTGCGCACATATTGTGCAAATTGGTCAAAGTGAAGACAAATCAAGCTTGGAGTGGCACAACTCATGTATAGCATCTGACATTTTCGGGCGAGCCTGCGGACACCTAGTAAGCTACAAGCTTATATTGAATTCTATTGTAGGCTTTATGTAACCTACTAAGGGTTTGTTTGGGACGGTTTCTTACTGTTTTTTAAAGCAGCTTTTATACTAAAAAATTGTTTCAAGAAGCAGTAAGAAAGCCATCCCAAACAAAGCCTAAGTTAGATGCTTATCATGGTTGTATGCACATTGTGGTTGGCTTTCAAGCAAGTAAAGAATTTGATGAGCTTTGATATTTGATTCATTAATTTATGCTATTTTGTGATGTGAAGACTTATAACAGAATGCTTATGTTCATGTAATCATGTCCTTATTGTAAGGCATCATCTTGATGAATCAATGTAGATGTTCTATTGATGCTTGCTATGGTTAGGGGCTCTGTTGATATGTTACTGAAAACGAATATAATTAAAGATTATGACCCTGCTTTTAGAAAAATATTGATTGTAATGTGATAATAGTGTGGAGTTTTCCTCTCTGCTTTAGATTAGCTTAATATAATGTTGCATGTTTCATTGTTGTCAACATGAATTGCAACTTGACCATTATTACCTGACTATGATCTTTCGTCCACCATCTCCTGACTATGGTCCTTCGATAACTATTTATCGACTTCAATTATTATCACACGATTGCAATCATCCGACCACCATTGTTCTACAACCATCCTCTAACCACCACCCCTTGATTGCTATTCTCTGGCCACTGCCATCTAACTATGATTCTCTAACTATCTTCCCTTGATTACAATCCTCTTCTCACGACCCAACTTGACATCTTGTATATTGAACGGGTCACATCATGTTGGATCACAATAGAAGAGTTTTCAAGATCAATTTAGAAGGAATTTTATTTTCATTTATTAATAGAAACACAAAGCCACTAAACATTAAATTGAAGCATAGAAAATAAACTCATCAAATTTTCTATTTATCTCTAAAACCTATACAATCAAAATATCCATATACAACAATCATGATATAGAATCATCGTATATTAAAAATAATACACCATAATTATCAAAATAATCTACTTGTAGAAAGACATACCTAATACCTAAAATCTGCAACTTCTATCTATTCCACCTGCCTTTTCTTTTTGCCTGACTTGAAATCAACACATGCAGAAAGAGCATGTATATGCAAACCATAGCTCAGAAGGCTATACAAAATCTATATAAATTCTTTATAATAAACAAAATAATAAATAAATATATTATTTTATCTTCGCAAAATAGTAAAACATTTTATCATATATAAAATTTTAACATAAGGTTTAGAGTAATGTTATTTGTTATAGTGTCAATGTCAACTTAACATTTCAATCAAGTAGTTGAAATAGCACGCTTTCACATATAACAGAAATAAACACATTACATTAGTCTCCAGTGACACATCATATTAGCTTCCTAGGCCTTTATACCTCTCAAACATTTCGCAAATAGAATCAGACCCTTATGACTCCCTGTGCACATCACATCAATATCAAACATTTATGACTTCATGTGCATAGCAAACATTTTCAAATTTTTATGACTTCTAATGCATAACAAAACAATATCAGACCCTTATTACTCTCGTTAAAAGACTTAGCATCGTGGTGCTGATAATGATCATCTGTGAGAGTTGTTTGAAGCTCAGACTTGCAAGCCTTGTCCATATCCATTCATTTTGGTACAATATGCACAATCATGACATTCAATAACATTTGATTTTGTTTCATTTCATTCAACCATTGCATTCATTTACTTACTCATAATGTGACTAACAATGGAGAAGTGATGCTAACACAAATATTTAAGGATTGGGAGGAGCTAGCCACCAAGCTAAATTTATATGATAAAACCATCAGGCTTCCTCCAAAAAAGATAATCTTTTCAATCTCATTTTAATTCCATAATAAATTTTCAACCCATTAATTTGATTTTAATTCCAATAAAGCTCGAATCAAACACGAACCAAACATGAACAAGCTAATGTTAAACAAACACAAACATGAACACTCACATACTCGGCTCGGCTCGGTTCGTTTGCAGCCCTACTACAAATAAAGGGTGGACCTTGAAATTAACTTGAATGATGGAGAAGAGCTTTGTCCACTTAAGGATTGCTTTCTTGAAATGTGGGATAATCCCTTTATCATTTGACTTGATTCCATAGAAACTGGAGAAAATTTTGACCAAGCTTCTCTTTGTAGATGCCTCCTTGATTTGATTTGGACTAGGGGTGGTTTAAGTGAGCCGAGCTTATCGAGTCATGAGCTCGGGCTCAAACACGAGCTCGTTTATTAAATGAGTTTGATGTGGCTTGGCTGGTGAGCTCGCGGGCTAGCTCGTCATTAATTAATTATTTAATAAAGTATTTATATATTAACTAATATATAGCTAGCGGGAGGCGGGACGCGAACCATAGACAAATGCGGGCGGAAATTCCAATTCGAGGGATGAAATTTTGAAAGACGGGACGACGAAACAATAGAACGCAGGAATTTCGAATGGCTGGGCGAGAATGGAGGAACAACAGACGTGGGCTTGCTTGCGGAATCAAGCCTCTCGACGAGACGACGTGTAGTTCGATGAGTCGAGCTCGAGGTCACCTTTTGAGCTCCACTCGAGCTTGAGCTCGAGTTCTAGTTGATATTCTGATTGACTAGTCGAGCTCAATAAGTTTACTACTCGACTCACACCCCTTGCTTGAACTATGGAGCATACGTAGCATATTTTAGTCATATCATTGTTGTAATGATGATATGGAATTTCACTATGCATGTATATTCTTTTCAATAGTCCAACAATACTAAAAGTCCTTTCAATGTATATTAATTGAAAGACATATTATGATAATAATAATAAAAAAATGAACTAGTTATCATAGAAATTAAAATAATAACAATAATTCCTTCTATTTTGTTTGGATAACAATATATTGAAGATAAATCCTTAATTCAATTTCGATATTAAGATCAAATGTATATTAGACCTTGGCGAGTGATTGTTGAAAGATGCAAACTGTGTGGTTGACAGGCAGATTAAGGCTTCGTTTGGGACGGCTTTTTTATTGCTTTCTAAAACAGAGTTTTAATTAGAAAATAAAAAATTTTGTACTAAAACTCCGTTTTGAAAAGCAATAAAAAAGCCGTTCCAAACAAAGCCTAAGTCGCTCATAGTTATATTGTCTTTGCTCGGTTCTTGAGTTTTTTTTTTTTTTTTTTTTTTTTTTTTTTTTTAATGTTGAGTGATAAATTATAAAATATGGGATTAGATTTCGTGACTTTAGAAATCTAATCATCATATTTATCTAATAGACTGTTTATCTTTTCCCTTATATGATTTCTTATTTGTTGCATACTTACATGCCAAAATGTTCATGATGTTAAAAGAAAGAGAGCTTATCATCTTAACTCTGTACGAAAATTCAATACATACAAATAAAAAAAACCGATAGAGGTAAATTTATATATGAAATCTCTAATAAGGAAAGATAAATTACAAGAAATGTTCAGAGGCTCATAGTCGTGTGACAATAGTTCGGCTATTGTAGTCAGACTGATGATGGTTAGGCGATCGTAGTTGGGCAATGGTTGTCGGACGAGCATGGTCAGGAGGCTGTATTATGAGGATTGTGATCGAGTGACATTTGTTGGAGGATTATAGTCAGGCGATAGTGGTTGAGTGGCAATGATTCGTTGAAAACAACCACACTGGTCTGACTGTAGTTAGGTGATGGTTTACCGGTGATGGTCTGGAGGTGGTTGAATGGTGGCATTTGAGTGGTAGTTCGTTGAGCTTTGAAAATTTTAAAGTTTGTAAGCTCTCTTGAATTGCAAGTCAATGATTTTTTTTTTTAATGCATAGAGAAATAGTCTATTTATAATATTTTTAAAGTGATATATGTCATAAATATAACCAAAATTCATAATACTTCATCGTACAATACTTATTGATTTTCTTGATTATATATATATATATATATATATCAAATTTTTAGTATTTTATTGTCTTAATGATGCTAGAATTAAGTTATCTTGGTTTCATTAGATTTGTCTTGTGAAGGCGCTCAATTTGACTATAACCATTTAAGATTTGAAGCTCATTTAATTATCCTATATTAATGCCTTAAATTTCTAAATGCATTTCAAGTGTTTGATTTAAGCTCGTTCATACTCGTATTAAATTACTCTTGGTGTCCATGAATTTTTCTCATTATGGTATTTAATTTGACTATAAATTTGCATATGATCTTAAATATGATAATTATACTTTTTAATTCAAATATATATTGAGATTCAAGTACTATTAAACTCTCCTGATAATGTATTATTACTTAGAAATTTTTTTTTTTGATAAAATTACCTAAGAAAATGTGCAATAACACCTCTCATCTTCTCGATGAAACTGATTTCTTGGGTTGTCAATAAATAACCCAACTCATCAACCCGATCAAAAAAAATTCTTGTTTGGGTTCACCCGCTTAATAAATGTGTCGGGTCAAATTAGATTTTTTAACCTATTTATTAAATGAGTTGAGTTCATGTTAACCCGCTAACCCCTTTTTGACCTTTAATATTTTTTTTCTTTAATTTTTTACTTGTGAGTATTATCATTTTATTTTGATCAAATTTGTTAAATTTTATGATTAATAAATTATAGTTTTTTAAATTAAAATAGGTTAACCTGTTTATTACTTGTGAGTATTATTGGACATATTACAAAACGACGCACGATCGCTGATTAGGAAAGGAAAATCGCTCTGCTA